CTCTGTGGAATACAATGGAGAAATGTATCCAAGCTGCTCGTTATCATACAATGAACATGGATGGTTAAAAGGGACTGTCAAACTCCAAAAAGGACTATAAAATAGCTTTGAGGAACAGAACGAAAATTTGTTGATGATCCTCCACTCCGCTGTAGCTCTCAAATCCCATTTGGACATGCACATAATTCATATTTGGCACGTCAAAACACACAGTTCCAGATGTGACATCAAATGGTTGTGATGTTTTGTAACCGAATGCAACCAAGTTTGAATTTGTTAAAGGGCAAACTATATTTAAGCAGTGTTGTTTTTGTTAACTGCGACTAATTGAAAATAAAATATAAATATTAGTTAAAAACAGAGAAATTAGAAATGTTGCATTGGCTAAAAAGTACTTAAATTACTAAAGCTGAAATAAAAATGAATTAAAGCTAAATACAAAAAGTTCTAAAACATAAAAAGTATTAATTAATAATATATTTTTTACATGAATAAATAGTACTGTATTTGACATCTGTTTAGGGGAGGAAATGACACAGCTTAAATTAAATTCTGTTCCTAACACAAACAACAAAGACTTTAGCATCATATGGACGAGTTATGTTCATTTTTCAGAAAAGTGCAGCTTGGACATTCTGTTCAAAATCAATTTCCGTGATTCATGGAAAAATGAAAGTCATTTAGATTTTGAACAACATGAGAATTAGTAAATAATGACAGAATAAAAATGTTTGGAGTGAATTAAAAATGTGTGTTAAATCTGTGTGAGCGTCTTATCACTAGCCCACCTGTTTCTTTATTTATGTAAACAACTGTTTTCAGGGATTAAGTCTTTTAACAAAATAAAATTAGTGGTGCATGTCATTAACAGTGATTCCGACTACACTTCATGTTATAAATACGTGGAAGAAAGCCAGAGCTCTGCATTATAGAGGCAGACGTTCATCCTCGCACAACTGAACATATGCAGATGCCCTTTCAGCCCGGCCTTGTCTGTTGAGTGTCTAATTAAGTGCATTTCACGCTTGTGTGGTCAATTTGACGAGGAGGTGACTGAAAATGACTGTGGGGTAATTGGACTGGATGTAACGTGTGCAGTCTCGAAACCACTTCCTGCCACCTTTGCCATGCTGTTTGTGTGTGAGTGCTCTAACACGCGGTACAGTTGGGAAGATTTCCATTGCCCGTGTTTACCCTTGAAGAGGAGACCTATCCTTCCTGTTTATTGATGGAAGAAACGTGCCCATTGATTTTCATTAGGACCCTCCTGTCCGTGTCTGGCATTGCAGATCATCTTCCTTCCTCTGCGTGTGGAGCTCGTTGCACCTCCAGCTGGAGCGGTTACACCACGTGTGCTCCTCAGGTGGCATCTCACGTATACCCAGACTTTTGGCTAACGGCATGAACCACCCATGTAGAGGAAGAAACTGTCTGACTGATGTGATAAGCGACCAACCACAGTTTGTTTCTTTTATAGAGGTGGGGAAATCAGAGATAGGACACAAACTAATTTTTCTCCCAAGTAGTAAACGGTGTCCTACCCATACCTTTCACTTTCAAAAACTTTACTTTTACCAATATTGTACTGTAAAATTGTGAAATGTCCTGTTACATTTCTTTTTATTCATTATTTAGTTAGTTCACCCAAAAATGAAAATTCTGTCATTAATTACTCACCCTCGTGTTGTTCCAAACCCGTAATGTGGATCTGTCGTGAACGCGCATCCAAAGTGATGCAGTAGAGACGAAAATGTGGAATAAAGTCGTTATTTTTGTTTTCTTTGCGCAAAAAAGTATTCTCGTAGCTTCGTAACTTTACAGTTGAACCACTGATGTCACACGGACTACTTTGTCGATCATCTTGGTACTTTTCTGGACCTTGAGCGTGGTAGTTACCTTGCTGTCTATGGGAGGGTCAGAGAGCCCTCAGATTCCATCAAAAATATCTTAAATTGTGTTCCGAAGATGAATGAAGGTCTTACAGGTTTGGAACAACACGAGGGTGAGTAATTAATGACAGAATTTTCATTTTTGGGTGAACTAACCCTTTAAGATATTCACCATATATAATATGTAACACTTTATATTAAGGAACTATTCCCTCCATCTCTAACTAGTTGCTTTTTAGCATGCATATTACTTGCATATTGGCTGTTTATTAGTACTTATAGAGCACATATTAATGCATTATTCTGCATGACCATATTACAAACTACAAACAACTACCTTACTGTCAGCAAGCAAGCAAATTGGGAGTTTATGAAGGTAAAACCTTTAGTTAATAGTAAATATGGGTTCCCTATTTTAAAGTAAACTTACTGTTAACCATTTAACATGTTTTTACGATCTTTTACCATTAAAATTATGATCCTTTATACATTGCTGCTACAATGTGATAAAGAGATAAGCCAAAAGAAAAAAAATTGTCGATTTATTGGTTTTGGATTATGTGGCACCTATGTGGCATTGCTAGATTTTATGCACATAATTGGCTGTGATTGTGTTATATTTGACTAAATATATTACTTATTTGACGCTCCTGCTTTGACTGCAGTTATTTTCTATGACAGTGTGTTCGTATTCAGATGAAGAATGGATTTGTTCAACAGGGTTATCACAGTACAAGGTGTTTGAGAAGGATTACATACACCACTTTGTGTCCCATTCAGCAGACACAAGGCCTTGTTAAAGGGTTACTATTATTATACGTGCTAGGCCTTCACGTAAAGGCTCATCTTGTTTCAGCCTGCCCTTTAATTTCATTGTTTTATTTCGGCACCATCAGAAAATGTGTCAAGAAGCCTAAATGAGGAGATGGGATAAGTGGTGAGAAAAATAAAAATGAGAAACGTGAAAGGTCAAACTAAATAGAGGATTTTTTTTTTTCTCGATCTCTTAATAATAAAAATTCTCATATAAACTCAGATACACTGGTTTCTTTCTGTTTTCCTAAAGAGATCTTATTGAACTATTATGTAGCTCTTGATCTGTTTCATCTGAAGTCTACTTTTAATATTAGTCAAGGTTTCTTGCACCAAAAAAGGTTATTAATTAATTTAGTTTTTCAAGACAATTTTCTGTTTTTGCTACTGTACCTTTAAGACATATATATGTAAATGGCCTCTGTCCAACCAAAGCTACCACAGTTCATCAACGTTTTTTTTTTTTTTTTTAAATATAATCAATTAATTTGTTTGTGTAATATTTAAATATTTATGTAATTGTATAGAATTTATGTGCGTATAAATTGTGCACTGGCCATTTCAGGCAATGTACAGTTAAACAGAAAGGGAAAAAAAACTGCAAAAGCATGTAACAATGAATTAAACAGCCAATATACTAATACAAATTTATGTATATTTGATGTAACTTAACTTGACACACCAAAAATTATAAGTAAAGCACAAGAAATAAAAAAAATACATAACAAATCTTGTCGTCTTGATTTATTTTAATTTAAATTTTTTGTGATTAATAAACTTATCAACTTATGAATCCCCAGCAGTTCCCTCATGAACCCCAGGGGCTGAACCCAATTTCGGGAAGCCTTGGGTTATCTTATTAATATCATATTAATTTATTTTATTCAGTGCACAGTTAATGTCAGTATATTTTTTTCATATATATATATATATATATATTTTTTTTTTTTTTTTTTTTTTTGCCAATCCTGGTGGAG